CAGTAACTGTGATTGTGATTGTATTGAACTGTATTATATTATAACTGTTACTGAAAGTTATTTTCATATTTGGTTATTTATTTTTTAAAAGTGTTATGCGTGAAATATGGTAGATTTTATTAATTAAAATTTAATAAATATTGTAAGATATATAATTATTAAAATAGATGATATTTAGTATTTTTTTTTTATAATTTAGGTTTTTTAGATTTGTTATCATTATTAAAATATTATAAATTATGATATAATTAATGTAATACCCCAAAATTTTGAGTATTATGTATAATTAATTAATTAATTTAAGTGTGAGATGACTAATATGAAAGGAAATTTTATTGGGGGACCAAGTTATCTAATTCTTTAATCTTGGGGATGTTGGAAAAAAAAGGGGGTTGGACGGACATAATAGAAGGCAAAAGGAAAACCAAAATTTCCTTTTCTGTTTTCTTTCTTCTTTTTCGGGTTTTTTTTTTCTTTTTTTTTTTTATTTCTGGTTTTCCTCTCCTTTTCCACCCTAAATTCAAAACCCTTGAAGCCATCAACCTCCTAAGCTCTCTTTGATGTTGTTTCTTCTCATCAAAATCGCTACTTTCTGTTCTTCTTCCTTGTCCGTAACTTGAAGGCTCAGTGGGTGCTCCTTCTGCAAAATTTTGGTAAGAAATCAGCCACGTTTCTCATCTTTACATTGTTGATTTGAAGTGGGTTAACTCTAATCCTTTAGGGTTTTCAAATTTTAGAAATTTTCTGTAGTTTCCCCTTGATTTCGTCCATGATAATTACCACCAGAAACTGATTTTCTTTACTTGCCAGAAATTTGGATTGCATGACCTTTCTGTAGTATTTTGCCCATAACTCTTTTTGTAGTTATCAGATTGAGTCCATTTTTAACTCTATAGAAAGCTAAGAGACAACTCTACAACATTTATGTTGAACATTTAACCCAGGTGAAAAATTTGCTGCAATTCCGGACCCTGCAGGCAGACTGCACTGGCAGTCCGACCTTCTGTTAGTATTTTGGCCATAACTCTTTCTATAGATGTTGGATTAAGATAATTCTTGAGGCTATAGAACTCTAAGACATAGGGTTACAATTTATCAGTTGACCACTCAACACAGATCAGCCAATTTTTGGGTGTGAATTCTGTTGGAAATTCTAGCACGAAATTTGACCCGAACTTGACAGAAATCACTCTCTTTTCTGTTTTATTCCCACCTTATCTACTGCCATATTACATCATGAATTTACAAGATTTTAGCTGCTGTTTTCATGCTCTAAAACCCTTGTTATTGCTTTGTTTTGATTGCCTTTTGCTACTACATTTTTTGCTTGAATGCTGCCCAGTTTTGGCTTGTTTCAACATTGTTTTGCTGCTGCTGTTTGCCCACAAAATCCTGCTGTTTTTACCCAGAAAATTCTGCTATTTTGATGCTGTTTTTCTACTATTTTGCCCATGAAAATCCTGATGTTTCTACCCAGAAAATTCTGCTATTTTGATGTTGTTTTACTGCTATTTTGCCCATGAATTTGCTGCTGTTTTTACGCAGAAAATTCTGCTATTTTGCTGTTGTTTTACTGCTGTTTTTGCCCATGAATTTGCTGCTGTTTTTACCAAGAAAATCGTACTATTTTGCTGTTGTTTTGCCTAGAAAAATTCTGTTGTTCTTGCTAGAAATTTCTGCTGTTTTTGCCCATAAATAGCTGCTGTTTTGCCCATAAATGCTGCTGTTGTGTGTGACAATGAGAGTTGTTTTAAGCACACTCTAAGTGTGGTTAAACATATTTATATGTTAATAAGATTTCAAAGGGGTAGAAATAGTTAGGGTGTGTAGGAAGAAATTGTTACCTTGGATAGAAACTTAATTTTGGAATTAGAAGCCAATTTAACTAAATGAGGTACGTTGTAATCTTGTTTGTTCTTTAATGTGGCATAGGTTCTAAGTCACCATTATCTCCTTGAAACCTTGAATACTTGCTGTTGTAAGCCTACAAGAAGAGGTAAGTAAAAGTATGGTAATGCCTTTGGATTTGAGGTAAAGTTTTTTTGAAAGCATATTTCTGATGGTTTTTGAAATGGTAGCGGGATTAAACCCGTTTTACACAAACACGAGCATGATTGGTTTGAAGTGAAATTATTATCATTTTCATTGAGTTGAGCATGCTTACTTGGAGTTTACTTGACTGTCTTGATGATCTGGAAATTATTTGTAAATTATGGTTTTCTTGTTAACTCCTCCCTGGTTTTATCTCCAATATGGTCATGTTTTACTGTGCTCATTAGTGGGAGGTTTATAAACATTAGCACATGTCGACATGTTACTTATGGAATCGGTTCATTCTTGTTATATTTGTTATCTTGCTAGTAGGAATATACACTAGCAAATCTTGTGCCTGCTAGTGGTAGGTTTATAAATGCTGGCCATGACCTATAGAGGAGACATCTATTTACACTTGTTAGCATGCTTTACGCATTCAATAATGGCTATTCATATTTTACTTACTAAGTTGTCTCACTAGTTTTTCCTTGTTCACCATTTTAGGTTGTGTGACCCGAGATGTGGGAAACCAAGGGAAGTGACAAGTGAGGAGGCTAGTTACTTGTATTTTGGGCATAGATTTTTTTTGAAATATAGATCATTCATTTATAAACTAGATTTTACTTTGAGATGTTATGGTATTAGAGTAGATTTTGAGTTATTGATCTAAGTTTATGTGGATTATTAGTTATGAATTTAGTAAGTTCCAAACCTTGTGCATTTGTGAGTTCCTCACACAAGTGTATGGCATCTGTTTCACCCCGAGATTTAGGTTCTGGGCATGACAATTAAACTACAAGAAATTGGATTTTAGTGGGTAATTTTTTAATTATATTAAATATTAGATGTTCTCCGTAAAAGTTATAGGTAAAAAGCTTTAAAATGAGTTTTCTAACTTTATATATAAAATTATTGTAAATCTACTTTAGTTTTTTATAACTTTTAGAAAAAGCAATCTGAAAAAAAATTACAAAACAAATAAATAGTTAAAACCACTATATGGCTACACGAAAAAGTTTTCAATTGCAATACCAAACACACCCTTAGTCATTTTTAATTATCATTCCTAGCATTTTAAATGTAAGATGTCTTATTTTCCTTAATTTCATATTTAAATTTAATAAATAAATTTGATCACTATTCACTTTTAATGATTGAAATTTATAATGACTTTTTAGATAAAAAATATAATTATGTTTAACAAATATGATAAAAAGTAAATAAATCTTAATTATTAAAAGAAAAAAGATAAATAGTTAAAATTTTATATAAACATAATATGTGGAACTCATATATAAATAAAATTTAACTCAATAAGCATATAATTTAATTTTTAATTTTAAATTGAATACTCGCAAATACTTTACAAGTCATTATGAAAACTCAAATTTAAATTTATTTTTTTATCTAAGTTGATATTAAAATCAAAATCAACTTATTTACCAAATGAATTAATCGCCCTTCTTGTGCCCCCCAAAATGAAGTTTCTTCGCCTTTTTTTCTGTGCACGGTTGTCCAAATAAATCAATATCTCGAATGGCCCGCTCCACTCTAATGGTATTAGACCTTGCCTTAGGACCATTCACCTATTGTAAATTGCGTGTTCGAATCCCACAAAATCTTTTTGCCCCTTTCCTCAATTACTATGTAAATAATTACAATATGTTAAAAAAATAAATAAATCAACACCTCCTCCTTTCCAGGGTTTTTAGAATCCCTATTTCTGTAGAATGGGTTTTGGGTTGTCTTATTTTATTGGGCCAAAGCTGGACTGGGCTTTGGCTTTGTGAGTTTTATGAAATTTTTAGTTTCTAGGCTGCAGCTTTTGTGTCCTTTTCTTGAATTCATTTTTCCAATTTCTTCAAAAGTTTTCCCTTTTTGCATGTAGCCCCTAAAACAAGATAAAGATAACATAGTTAAAATTTCTATATTTTATATTTTATGATTTTTTTACCTTTTATAATTTTTGTGATTTTCTTGATTATTTTAACATTTTATATTTTTCATGAAAGATTCAAATAAACTAATTGAAAAAATGAGTTATGACATTGGTAAAGAAAAAAGACATAACATGTAAAATGTAGACAACTAAAAAGCTAGACTAAAACTAAAGAGAGGTATGAAACAGGCCTAAAATGCAAGCTGAACTAAGAAGATGGTAGACTTGAACACTAACTAAAAATTATGCATATTAACAAAACCTATATTTTTAGATAGAAAGTAAATTTGCAAACTTATTAAAAAAACTACAGTGCTAACTAGATTAACCTACTTGTAAAACATGTAGTAGAAGCATAAGTGTAATGTCCCAAAATTTTGTGATATTTTAGCACTTAGTTAAGGACTTGATTGTGAAGAATATTGTTTGGGACCTAATAGTGAAAATTTTAAAACTTGAGGGACTTAAAAGAGAAAAATTTTGGATAAGGATCAGCTATTTTTTTTCCTTCTTTCTTCTTCCTTATCCGTGCGTTTCTGCTCTTCTTCTCCCCTACAGTCGACCAAGAACCCAGCCAAGCCCGACGCACCTCCACTTGAAGAAAAATCAGTAAAACTTGGTTTTTGCCTTCCTTTTCTTGTTCAAGAACAAGATTTGAGCTTAGAAACCTCCCCCCCCCCTCTGTAGAATTTTCGGATCTGCTTTGCTCTATGTCCTCCATCCGCTGCTCTTGCCAGTTTGTGGGTGCAAATTCCTTTGATTTTTTGGTAAGAACAGCCATTAAATTCTCTGTTTTTCCTTGAATTGGCTTAGGTTTACTCTAATTCCCCTTGGTTTCTCTAATTTCCGCTGAATTTCTCCTGCACTTCCATCGGCCTTCCCCCAAACTGCAGCTCCGGTTTTTGCTGGATTTCTAGTATGTTGACAGCTCCTCCAAGCCCGAAATTTCATCAATTAGTTGCTGAATTTTGTCCATTTATTTGCTGCCCTGTGCTGTCCGAATTTTCTGCTGGAAATAGGGGAGAAATTTGACAGTAATTAGACCATGATTAACCTTAATCCATGTATAAATTGCTTGAGTTGGCTGCTGTGATTTTGGAGGAAAATCCCGAGTGTTTTAGCCCCTATTTTTGCCAAAGCCGTGCTCTTCCCTTTTGCCGTGGGATTGGGAAACCAAATTGGTGAAATTTGGCTCTAAAACCTCTTGTTTAAGAGATTTTTGGATATTATGATTTTATTTTAAAATATTTGGACCTTGGGTAGATATACGGTTTTTAATAAAAGTGAGTTATATTATGGTTGAATTTTGTGTGAAGCTCATTGATTAGTAAATTTGTGAGGTTGTGCTAATAATTCTAGTAAGGTCTGAATGCATTTATTTGGAATATTAGGTGCTATTATGGCTTAGAGCACTGGGATTGAGTCTTCGGTTTATGCGATTGAGGTAAGTAAATTGTGGTAACGCCATCCGATTTTAAACTATATTTTAACTTGTTTTTGAAGTGGTGGTGAGACTAACCTCGTTTTATACAAAAATGAGCATGATTGATTTGAAATAAGATTATCATCCTTTTTATTGATTTGAGCATGCCTGCTTGGAGTTTATTTAAATACCCTAATGATTTGGAAATTATCTGTAAAGTATGATTTTCTATTAAATTTTGCCTGTTTTGTCTCCAATATGGTCATGTTATTCGTGTGCCCGATAGTGGGAGGTTTATAAACGCTAGCACATGTCGACATGTTACTAATAGAACCGGTTCATTTATGTGATTGTTATCTTGCTAGTGGGATTATACACTAGTAAATCGTGTGCCTGTCAGTGGGAGGTTTATAAACACTGGCCATGACCTATAGAGGAGACGTCTATTTCGTTCCCATATTGTATCCGTTTTTCGTGGTTATACTTGTTGGCATGCTATAAGTTTAATTAAGGGCTATCCATATTTACTTACTAAGTTATCTCAGAGTTTTTCCTTGTCCACCATTTCAGGAAGCGAAGTCAAGGACAGGGATAAACGAGGGAAGTGACGAGTTAGAAGGCTAGTCATCTTGTAAATTGAACATAGATTTTAGATATAAATCATGATTTTGTAAGCTAGATTTTAATTGAAGATTTTATAAATTCATTGAATGGATTGTTAGTTTATAAGAGATTTGACCTTGAGATTTTAAGTTTAAGTCATGTTGGACATAGAATTATTTTGAAATTTAAGTTATTGGATTGTCAGATGTGAATTGGATAAGTTCCGAGTTTTGTGCATTTGTGAGACCCTCTCACGAGTGCATGGCGTTTGTTACACCTCGGATTTGGGTTCTGGGGCATGACAATAAGTAAAGAAGACTAGAAAGTAAAGTGGTGTTTTGAATATAAAGAAAAATGATCACATTAACATAATTCAAAAACAATTGTAAAATTTAAATCAACTACAATAATGGATTTGGAATTTAATATTAACAAATTTGTAGGCCAAGTTCATAAGAGGAATCTAAGAAAGCAAAGGGTATACAATGATTATAATAAAAACATGAGAATTGGTCTTAAATTTTAGACACTAAGTGAAGTGGTATAAAATAGAAGAAGCTAACCAATAAAACGAGACAACTAGTCCCAGTGCTTTGATTTAGAAAGCATTTGCAAATTGCTTGATTATAGAAACTGATCTAAGGTTGCGTTGGGCAATTTCTTGAGAGAGGTAGGTCTAAAAAATTAATTTCTATCAAAGGAGATTGTTTTACCTTGTTGCTAGAGGTGATTTGGGTGGTAACTGCTCCACTTTCCGTAATCATTTTTTAATGTATGCCTTATTCCACGTCTAACAACATATACCTAAAATGTCTCCATGTTTGACAATTTTCTAATTCAACTCAAATACAACCTAACGTGATCTTCTTCTCTAAAAAATCTCTTAATTTCCTAATTCAATTAGACCTCAGATAAATCTCATTAAATGGAAGAATTAAACCACTTTTTGCCACGTGATGCCAAACCATTGTAACAACCACAATCTAAGTAGCAAAAAATTAACTCTAGATCAATTGTAAAATCTTTATGACATTACATCTTCAAATTGTGTGCTATTTATGGTGTAAACATCCTCATTATTTGAAAGTAGCTTTTTAGCTTATAGTGATCTCCACTACCACACCAAGAAACATGGCACATAAAAAGGGGAGTAGAATCTCCAAGTCTTGGATGGTAAGTGTTTGGGCGTCTTCACAAACTCTACTGTTGAGATCACGAATGCTCTACTACTTGAAAAACCCAAGGATGTTTTCTCGAGGGAAACACTCTAACGCTCAAGTTAACAATACTCTATAATCTAGAGAGAGAAGCTTTTAAGAAGAGTAATTGTAGAAAGAGAAGCATAGTAAAGTTATTACCTTGCATGGAGGTAGTTGGGGGTATATATAGACCCCAGTCCTGATAGTTATGCCACTTGTCACTTTCTCATTGGCACTCTTGCCCTTGGTTACATGGGTGTAACATAACTAAAGTGCCTACGCCTTTAGGCTGTATATGGCCTTTTGGGCCTAATTAATAATGTTGTGCCTATTCCTCAACATTACTCCCCACTTAATGTTCGATTCACGAACAGTTGTAGTAATTGTTTAGGCCCAGCATTGATCTTGATGAGCATAACTTTGTTGACAGGTTGGCTAAAGCAGATGGGGTTGAACAACTTAGGAATGAGCTTGCTTGCAACAAATATCTTTTCCGAACCTGATAAGCTGAATTTACAAGCTTTGAGCTCACAAGCTCATTTGACATTTTTGTCAAATTTTGTCTTTTCTAAATCTAACAAGATGAGCTTATAAGCTTTGACATCATAAGCACATTTGGATTTTTTGTCAGATTTTGTCTTTTTTGAGTCTGATGAGTTGAGCTTTTAAGCTTTGAGCTCATGAGCTCATCTAACGTTTTTTGTTTTTTGTTTTTTAAATTTTGTCCTTTACTATTTACAGGTTCATCCACTAAGAATTTTAGAATTTGAAAAGTAAGATGAATTCAAAAAATAGGATGAAATCTCTTCTGAGATTTGCTTTAGATTTTACTCCAAGCTAGTTCATATCTTTTTGCCCCTTCCAATAAATGCTGACATGGTGTTTTAAAGGACATGACAGCTAAGAGTTGGTGGATGTTGCACGTCTACAAATGATTACATACCACATTGGCAGTTATTATTAGTCACTGTAGGGGCATGGGTACGATGCTCAAGGTGCACGTAACCTGGTGAGAGAAAAGGGGAATGGGGAGAGTTGTATCTGGTAACTTAACCATTTTCTTTTTACTTTCCTCCTCACTTTTTGCTCTTTCCTCCATTTTTGCTTGTTACTGCTTTCACTCTTGTTGCCATTCCTTTATTCTCTTCACCATTTTCATGAAGGTTGTAGATCTTTTAGTGAGGATACTATTTTGTCTTTGATCATACAGGTAATCATGGATTTTTTTAAGGAATCACAAGAACTCTAGGGTAACCAGGGAAACGAAGAAGAGGGGGTAATGTGCGTTGCTCCTATTGTAATGGTTGTGCCATCGGTGTTACAAGATGGACTTGTGTTAGACAGGCTTTTCACTTTGGAAAGTAGCGCAAGCTCTTCAAGTGACACTCACTCTTCTAACTATAGTTTATCTAGCTCTTCCACAAATAGTGCTAAGCTTGTTCAAGGAGATGTGAACAAGGGTGAAGAAAAAGGGATTACTATTTACACTGAAAGGGAAGAAAAATGTGCGCATCCAGTACAAGGATGGGAATTGATGCCTACCCACCCTAATTTGGTCGCTAACATTCGAGAAACACCAATAGATTTCGTGGTAGGGTTCAAATTTAAGGCAATGCTTCACCATGAGGTGGTAGATGGTAAGGCCACCATCAAAAGTTTGAGAAAATTGGATGAAGTGGTGAAGCAATATTAGATTCCCAGCACCATGCTAGTGCGAGTAGCATCACCAAAGGAAAAGGCGTGTTCGGTAACTGCCAATGGCTGGAATCCAATATATCTAGACAACTTAGAGGCTAGTTTGCGATTGTCACTGCTAGGGATAATTTTTGATGTGCTTGCAAATTACGGATTAGCATTGACATAGCTTACACCTAACTTGGTAAAGTTTATAATAGGGTTTATGTTGTTATGCATAAGACTACAACTGCTGGCCAAATTGAAAGTTTTTCAATCCTTATTCCAGTGCAAACAAGTGAAGAAAGCAACAAAGTGGTATTATATCTCAAGTCGTAACAAAATGATTATATCCCACAACATTAAGAATAAAGTAGTGAGTTGGAAGAAGAGATTTATTTTTATGCAATACACTAAAGTTGAGAGGGTGAGTAACGAGCTTGCTACCCGAATATGTGAGTGGCATTCACTCGGCTCATACATTAACTACCCAACCCTAAACGCGGTGGACATGGAAATAAAGAAAGAGATACTACGTTTTGTTGAAGAAAAAGGGATAGTGGATCTAGAAGCCTTGGTTACACTATTCGAGCTACAGGCTTTAAGGTTTGTGGATGTGGCAAATCTCCATGTCCCAAGTGCGTATTTATTTTGGTATATATGATTAGTAATGTTGATCTGAATCTTATTGCCTTCTTTTGTGTAAGAGAAATGGCAGGCAGGCTAAAAAAGCAATGGGAGCAAGCTCAATGCTAAAAAAACAAGCAGGGGGAGAGAAGCAGCCGAGGACTGGACATGAGACAGGTTAGAGAAGTACTCTTTCTTTGACGAGCTTCCGTCGACAGCTATAGAAATGGTGCACACTCCACACAAATCCTCTTAACCTGCTATATGTGAATCGGAGTCATAGCCCGTTTCTCAACATTTGTCAAAGAGGCGGACCGACACAAAGGAGACAAGTCCCAATGATTCTCATAGGAGGGTCTGAGAGAAGGGAGAAGCTACAAATGAGAAGGCGTCCTCTAGGCAGTGGGATGAAAAGCAACCTGTTGTCCTTGCCTCTTACTAGAGGATGTTGAATGAGTTGAGAATTCTTCTTCACAATGGGCCACTCCAATGGTTACATACCTAGAGGAATTCAACTACATGAGGAAGGAGAGCCTAGTGGCCATGTTGTAGGGCATGCACAATTTTGTCCCGTTGGCAAATTGTCAGTAGGTGAGAGAATTCATCCATCAAACTAATGGTACAAATGCCATTATGATGAAGTTAGTGGATGTAAGTAAAGCCCCTTGTAATTGTCTTTATCTTTGTTATTATTGTGAGCTGAACTTAAGTTTTGTGGATTGTATGGTGGGGACTTTATTCAAGCAAGAGTAGGCTATTCAAGTCCAAGCTCGTATGATAGTGGATAAGGCTAACACAAATGTGCTAAAAAAAATAGAGATTGGAGAAAGAGGTGAGACATTTGAAAACCTCTAAGATGGCCAACCAAATTGCGACAATGGAAAGTAAGGTGAACGAGCTTGCAAATGAAGTAGTTAGACAAAAAGAGGAGTTGGAACTAGCACAAGCAGAAAAGGAAAGAGGCATTATTGCTGTTCAAAAAGATGGTAAGTCCCAGATTAACACTGCAAAGAGGGAGGCTACAGTGGCTAAAGCTAAGAGAGAGAAGGCCTTGGGCAAGGTGAGCAAGTTATAGGCAAAAGTTGACGAGGCTGGGCACTATTTCGAGATCATCCAAAAGAAACTAAACGGAATGAATGGCTCTTTTTGTTACTCTATCAGCACAACTCAAGCTCAAGGAGTAGAGTGGTTTTTGGGCTTCAAGGTCTTTCAAGTTGCTTCAAACATTGCCTCACTAAACAACACAATTGAAATATACAATGAGGTGTGAGGCAAGGTGTTGCAACATTAACCAAATTTCCCAATCGATAAGCTTGCCTTCATGGACGACGAGGAAATAAAAGAGTAGGGAAGAAGCTTGGCCCTATTATTTGAGACTACTATGAAAGTGCTGTTGACTCTAGATGAGGAGGGAGCTCCCTTATTTCTTCTAGCCGTGCTCAAAGAGGGGAAGGAGCCTCTATAGAGTTTTGTTGATTAGGTTGTTGGGATGCCTAATTTGGAAGCTGAAACCACTTTTTCTTGGCTATGTCCACCCACTCAACCCATTGAACCTAGTACTACTAGAATGGCCCCCATTACACCCATGCTAGTTGTAGATTTAACTAACAAACAAGAATAAGACACATGGTGTGTTCAGCTTAGGTTTTTGATTTTGCAATGTACTATTTTGATTTCATTTCATCTCATCTCATTTTGTATTTGTACCTTTTGAAAATTTATAATATGAAATGAAAAGGAATAGTTCTTATAATTTTATCGCTTCTGGTTACAAATAAGGAATTTAGATTACAACACATACACAAAAGAAACAATATGAAAGTTGACCACAAAAAAGCCATAAAAGCTAACTGTAGTATTTTCTTAAAATGTTTATATTCCAAGTAAATGGTAGTTGATGACCTTGAGAATCTTCTCAAATGTGCATCCCAAGTCGTTTAATAGCTACAAATTTATAAAGCTCTTCCCAATTAGGGGCGAGCTTGCCCATCATAGAATATATGCTTGTGAGCGCCACTTTCCTTAAAGCTAGGTCACTAACTCTAAACTAATGATAACGAACTTGTTTATTGTAGAGATTTGCAACATGAAAGATCATAGGCGAGTTGCTTCCTTGACTTCTTTGACTAGATCTAATCTTTCATGAAGTGCTCAGTCATTAATTGACTCATCAAAATGAGTTGTTTTGGTGCTCAACAACCCTATCTCAATAGCGATAATTGTTCCAATCTTGTAGGCTAAAGAAAATAGTGTTTCACCAGTTGCGGAGCTAGGTGTAGTTCTACATGACCACAATTTGCTTGAGCAATGGTGATGCATGTTTTGAGGCCGTGCAAAATAATTTTGTTAGCGGACCTTGCTTGACCGTTTGTTCATGGGGTGTAAACTGAAGTGAGGACGAGTTGAATTCCATAGTCTTCGCAAAATGTTTTGAGGGTTAGTGCTCAAAATTGAGGGCCATTGTCAACTATAATGCATTGTGGAATCCCATACCTAGAGGGAAAAAGGTGGGTTAAGCATTTTTATAGACAAAAATATTAAGCAGCATATATCTTTGGAATATGCCATTGCACCTACATAGGACCAAGCTAAATATAAATTCTTCTACCATTTGCTCAGTTATGGTGGCTTGGCTTCTATCCACTTTGTAAAGTAATCAACAATGACAATAAGGTGAGTGCAGCCTCCGTTACCTTTGTTGAGGGATGAATTTGCATGGCTGCGTAACTAACGACATGTGTGGGTCCACATCAACAAAGGACAACAATACTTATCTTCCCACATCTGACATGTGATTCCAATTTTCTACTAATTGCTACTGTGGAATCAACATCGCCAAAGGGGGGGCACTTATTCACTTCGCTGGAAATATCGCAAAATGTGACTCACTCCAGCATCTATCTCCATACACATGGCTAGACATGGCTAAATCTATTTTGACGACATGGCTGGGCGTTTCTTGATGGCCATGTCCTCTATAGTGATGTTCTTTGCTGTATCTTGTGGCTCCCAACAATGAACAAAGAGCCTATTTTGCTACATGGCTCCCATCAAAGGACAATGGGCTGATCTATATAGCTCCCAGTGATGGAAAATGGGCCGAGCATCCACTCCTACATATCTTTATCATTGGTTCCCATCAATGGACAACGAGCTGATCATATTACATTTACACAGCTCTCAACAATGGACAAAGGACCAAATATGCCACATATCTATCTCATTAGCTCTCCAAAACGGGCAAAGAGTTAGCGCAACTTGGTACGATTAGCGTGAGGTCAATAACAGTTGCAACTCTGCAATTGGATGGGATGACTACCCTCCAACGATAAAAATCCATCAAGTAGCAGCTGACGGTCCGTTGGTGGTCACCCGTGCATGGTGGTGTGGTGCTTGTTGGGCAACAACAACTAAGACCACCCTCTAACGGTAAGAAGGGCCAACATTTGTCAATGGTATCACACCTTGTCGTATCAAAGGACATGGATGTGGCTGGCGTCCCCCTTCCATGGAGACAACTCCACCTCTCTCTATCACATCTTCATCGCTCTGGCGGAGTCTAGTTTAACGAGATTTACCTCTTTGCAACTTGGTAGATTAGTGGGAGTGCTCTTCTGATTCCACATAGTTCACGCTCCAACCATGGACAAAGCTAGCCACTGTTATCCTTCTGGCTATGGGAAAGCTATTCATGGCTGACCCTATAATACTTATGCAACATGGCCAATGGTCATGTATATTGTCATCTTTCTATACAAAAGGACAAAGTTACCAATCAACGGTAATCCCAATCTATAACATATCTTTTTTATATTCTAAGTGTTAGTAGGTACCACCAGCCAACGAAGCTTAGCCCGGGATAACGATATCGTAGCATACACCAATGTCATCCATTCTCTATTCTGGCACAACGCCAGCCATGCATAGCAACAATAAAGTAACATCAGCCACGGTTAGCGAATAAATGGGAGCAGCGAACATTTGCCCACATGGTCTTCCTCAACATATAGGGGAGTTCCTTTCTTCACTGTGTAAATTCACATATTGCTTGTATCTAAAAAACTCAAATATATGCTCATATGTACTTTATTATTATCGTAGATAAGCGCAAGCCCGTGAATCTAAACTCATGGGAATTACTCGGGATAAACTATGGGGGTAGTGGCTTGGTAGGCATAGATGGGTGAATGTTGCCTGTCTGGCGAAGCAAGGCATTCGCACTAGCGAAGCTTGGAATTGGCGATGTTGCCCAATTTCGCCAGAAAAGGCTAGGTGGCGAAGGTGTGGAAACAAACTTAACTCTCGGAACAATACCCTTTGATGCTAACCAGAGGCTAGAAATCCCGTTGAAGACTGACTGAAGATGTCGGTTGAGGCACCATTAGCAACTTGCAGCCATATTTAATGTAAGGGTGGCTGCACAAGTTTCATGGCCTTGGAAACTGTTATGGAAGATCACTATCTGCTTGCAAAATCTTCCAAAATCCCGAAAAAAGCTTGGGGAACTTACGAAATCATTGTGCAGGCGGTGTTTCTGTCGGTTGCACTCAAGCATCCCCAAAAAACGGAGTTTCGTATGGTTGGGAGAATTTCCAATAATGGCCAGTTTCCAATCCATCGTTGGAACTAGCGAAGCTTCATTGGAACCAATAGGCAACTCATGAGTCTAATGCAAGAACCACTTTGAGCTTGACAACTCACCTAGACCCATCTGTACATTTTTGACATATTAAGTAGAATTACATGATTACCCCTAACTGCATATATCATCCCTCCCTTTCCATTCAAAAAGAGATACACAAAATAACCCAGATTTTCTTATGCACCAGATCCCCATTCTTCCTCTTTCATAAAAATTACTCCACCTGCAATCCATCATCCCGCATGTTAAAAACTACCCAGAAACCATCGTTTCTCTGTACCTTTAATATTGTACCTCGCATGATAATCTCCAATATTGCAGAGTATTCCCAAATTTGTAGGATATCATGGCTGGGAAACAACAGCTTATAGTTCCATCTCCCATGTAATTCTTCTTGATCATTAGACGATTAAGCTGCATGGTTAGCATTTAAGAATGGGATTGAGAGTTCCACCCATAAGCATCCCCAAGCGGACACCTTTCATTCTCCCATCACTATTTTTGAGTTTATCCTCTTTTTTTTTTTTGTTCCTAAAGAAATTTAGGAAGGAAGGTCGTTACGACCTTCATGTTCAAAATGAGAATTGTGCGTTATAGGGTGAAAATGTTCACTACAGATGATTGAGGTTTTATTTGGTGTCATTACTACTATGTCATGGTGTTCTATGTGTAAAGGCAACTTCAAAATTGTAATCTTTGAACCTCATATGTTTATCATCTTTGTCACCCTTCCAGCCATATATGCATATTCTTATTGTTGATTTTGGTAGTTGTGTAATCATTTCGAGTCCACAAGATGTCTGTTGTCGTTATTCAGCTCTAGTAGCTTAGTCAGGGGATTTATGTTTTGCAACTTCGCTAGGGAGCCAGCTGTGTGATATCATTGCTAGACAAAACGAGATGGCTCGTAGCACGTAGCCATGTTCATGTGAGAGGGGTGTCGCCGAAAGAACCCCTCCTCATCTTCGCAGGTCTCATCCTAGTTAGCCTCCACATCATCACTGTTGCTGACTCATCAACCTACATCACCAGCACACCCCAACAACCTTTTACGAAAGGGCCAAGTAGATCTACTCCACATTAAGCAAATAGGCATTGAGAGATGAGTGAGGAGAGCGTTTCTCTTGAAATTCAAGAAAACCGAGCTTGGTCATTGTAATGACATGAGTATGTAAAAAAATTGACCATGTATGAGCTAGTGTACCTAGCATGTGAATGTCATTAGCATTGAACTGGCAAGTTGGACATTTCTTGACATAGTTTTGAGTGTCTTCAATCATTTGAGGCTTGCAATAGCCTTGTCTTAGTAGTTTTGGGGCGAGTGTCCTTCCCCTAATATGTGTGCCACAAACTTCTTCATGAACTTCTCTGATAGCATACTCTGCTTCATAAGGAGTAGAGCATTTCAATAAAGATATTGACGCTGCTTGTAGGCAAAAACGAGCTACTCTGTGTCTTACTAACCAAGCTTCAGATTCATCTTCTAGTAATGTTCCAAATTCTAGATATTCAATCAACGATGTGGCCCAGCTCGACATTGATGGATCAATACTCAATATTGCACAGTCAACAAGAGAGTCCATATAACTTGGTGTCTCCAAAATTTCAACATAAGTTGTTTACCAAGGTGATATTTCTTGAAAGGAGGCTAGCTTGGACAATTCATCACCTCGCTGGTTGTCTGCTTGTGGGATCTTATCGATTTGAAAGAATTTGAAGCTACCTTTTAATCGAGCAACAATAGTGTGGTAGTGGGCTAATTGTGGATTTTTAATATCACAGCTAGCATTCACTTGTCCCATGATGAGCTGAAAGTCACCTAAAACACGTATAGCTTGAATGTTGAGCTTCATAGTAAGCTTTAATCCAAAAATTACAAATTCATATTTGATGGCATTATTGGTTGCCAAAAAATTGAAACGAAGAGCATGTTTGCTTTTAAAATTGTCCGGACTTACTAAAATAGCTCTTATTCTCAAGCCTTCTAGATTTGAAGCTCCATTCATTTATAATGCCTAAATAGGATAAGAAAAAGGTGTTTCCTCCATGATAGTGGGCACACATTTGACCATGAAGATGGCTAAAGCCTATCCCTTAATAGCTACACGAGGTTTAAACCTCATATCATATTTGTTGAGCTCAACAACCCACCCAATTAGACGACCTGAGACTTTGGCTTTTGTAAAATCTTCCTTAAAGCCAGGTTTTTGAATATAACAATAGGGTGTGATTGAAAGTAGGCTATAAGCTTTCTAGCAGCATAGACTAGGGCAAAGGCTACCTTCTCGACAATTGGAGATCTTCGTTCAACTCCTTGTAACACTTTACTCATATACCAAAGATCTATCTTCCTGTTTTAGCAACATTGAACTAATGGCATCAGGTGTGATGCCTAAACACATGTATAACGTCTCACCTTCTATTGGCTTGGCGAGCAAAGGCAAGGAAGTTAAATAATGTTTAAGCTCATCAAAAGCTTGTTGGCATTCCTCTATCCATTAAAAGTCTTTTGGGTTTCTTAAAACCTTAAAGAAAGAGAGGTATTTTTCTGCTAACTTGGCAATAAACCTATGTAGGGGCTGCTAATTTGCCCATTAAGCGCTACATGTCCTTAACCATCTTTAGGGGCTCCATGTGATGAATGGCTTGGACCTTGTCTGGATTTACCTCGATTCCCTTTTAGAAACCATATAACCTAAGAATTTGCCTAATTTCACACCAAAAGTGCATTTCAACGAGTTTAATTTCATCTTAGCTCATTGTAGATTTTGAAAAGTTTCACTCAAGTTTGCCAAATGATCTTCAGCTCGTAGACTAATAACAATCATATCATCAACATACACTTCTATATATCTACCAATTTGGAGCTTGAAAAATGAACTAAATGAGTTCTTGATATGTTGCCCCTATGTTCTTCAGCCCAAACGACATCATGACGTACTAATAAATTGCATCCCTAGCATAAAATGTTGTATTTTCTTGATATTGTCAAGCAAGAGTTGGACTTAATGATATCTTGAGTTCACATCTGAAAAGCTCAAATGCTCATGAGCAGTTGCCCTTTCTACCAACCTTTCAACATTGAGGAGTGGGTGAGGGTTTTTGGGGCATGCATGGTTTAGGTTTGTGAAGTTTATGCACATTTGCCATTTGCCACTTGCCATTGGAGTTCTTGACGAGCATAGGGTTGGATACCCAATTAGAATAAAGGCTAACAATGATGTCTTTGCTTGGACAACAAATAAAATATCGAGCATCCTAAAAAAGGCTAAAAGCTCTACCCTTTTCCTTGGCCATGAGTCTAGTCCCAATCCTCACTATTCTTTCTAGTTTAGCCGAATCTAGAGAGATTGTCTCGACAAGTTTGGCTGGTTCAACTTTTTGTTCGACATTCTCCAACCTATGATCTACATTAGAAATGGTCATTGTCTAAAGGCTAGGTTGGCTAGGGAGAAGTAGTTGAGAATAAATGCTCATGAAGTTGCAGCTAGCTTGACTTTCTTAAAGGTGTCTTAATAGTAGGCTTTAACCATTTTTTGGTTTCCCACACGATTTCAATGCTCACTGTGTTGGGAATTTCATGCATAAATGTGGTTGCGAAACAACATCTTTAGCTTGCATAGCGTGCCTCTCCCAATGATGGGATTGAACATTGGCTCCATCTTTACCATGACAAAAATAACCGAAGCCATTCTATACCTTGGTTTAGTGCCCACATAAATTAACAAAGTAACCACTCCTTTGACTGGGATAAGTTGGTTGTCAAACCCATATATAAGGCCTTCATATTTCTTTAAAGAAATTGGGTTTAACTGCATTTTCTAAAAACACTCTCGATATAGGATATCTAGAAAGCTACCTGTGTTAATGAAGATTTTGCTCATAGTATGGTTGTCGATATGTACAACAACTACAAATGGGTTAGCATGAAGCATAATAATGTTTAGTTCCCCATTTGGTCACTTATAGTTAGACAAATTGAATGTAGTGGGTGCATTTTCCCAGTTAGTTTCTTCAAAAGGTCACTTCAAAGGCCTATTCTTGTTCAATGCCATTACTTAGTGAACATAGGCCTTATGAGCTCTAGCACTCTGACCTTCTGCATGCATCCAACCTGATATCATGTTGATTGTGCTCGTTGGTGGGGGAATGCCAATGTACCCTAATCCCTTATTATCTTTTGGTTTTATGGAGTAACTCGTTATCCTTAGCCTTTTCTTCCACCTTAACAACTTCTGAAACTGTTGCCAACCTCATCGGGAAATGGATTTCCTTAATACATCCCCTGGCTATTGTTAACCTAATATCCTTATGTTTGGGGTTAGGCATAATCTTGCACATAATGCGTCTAATTAAGCTATTGTAGAAAAGATTTTTGTATATAATCCTTCAAACTTTCATTACGAGCTAAGAATTCCAACTAGTTCTTCAGATTTTGACAATCGTCTATGTGGTGACCATAACCACAGTGGTAATCACAATATTTGCTCTTATCCATTCTCATTGGATCAAAGGGCATGATAGCTAGTCTCTTTATCCACTGTTGTATCTAAGATAAAATTTGTGATCTAGATGAGCTCATTAGGGTATAGTTTGCATACTTTGGTGAGGGTTGAAAGTTGCCTAACCTTGGTCTCTAATCGACAACCTTTTGCTTCTTCTTTTTTTCCCTCCCTTCCTATTACCTTAAGTCTTTCCTCGACTTACCATCTGCTCGTCTCTTAGACGATTGGAAATCTTCTATCAAGATAAAGCTTGCTGATTTGTCATTGACTTCATTCCATGTCTTTGGTGGATTCTACAATAAGTCTTAAAGAAAGTGTCCAATCTTAACTTGTGCAGCAGGGTGGACAAACAGATAGTGTCTAGGACATTGTCAATGTCCAAAGTAGCTTTGTTCAACTACTGCATGTAATGTCTTATGGATTCATTCTCTTTCTGATGAACTTGCATAAGCTTGGTGGCTATGCGTTTTATTTCCCTTTGGCTTGCAAATTTACTAGAAAACAAAGTAGTGAGCTAGGAAAATGATGTAATTGAATGTCTTAGGAGTTTATGATACCATCGATGGGCAATTGATTTCAAAGTAGCTGGGAATACTTTATACATCATTGCATCTGAGGCATTCTGTATTTTCATGATCACCTGATAAGTATGCAAACGTTCATCTAGGTCACTTGACCCATCATATGTCTCCAAGATAGGAATTTTAAACCCTTCTTGGTAAGGTTTTAATGTAATTGACGAGCTGAGTGGGGCATGATCTAAGTCTAGGGCTTGTTGTCACAACCTAGGATTTTTCAGCTTGTCCACAGATTTTTGGATTTCTTTCAGCTACTTTTCCAGCTCGACTTTCTTTTTCAACAACTACTCATTTGATTTTGATGAGTTGTGCTCTACAGTAGGTTGTCCACTCCCCCTAGGCTTCATTAGTATAACAATATTACTCAGTGTTGGGGAACAACGAAACGAGGCTCCTTGCTGCTATTCACCTCGATTTAACAAAGGAATCAATGGATCGTTTGGCATAAAATGTGATAGGATTTTTCCCATCTTCATTTCTAGGACTCTAGTTCACTCTTCAAGCTTAGAATTATGTGCAACGGGTATGAAAGACTCTACTCTAGTCGTTGACCTAGCCGGTCGAGCTCTTGGAGGGGTTTGTTCTTCTCCCTACTCTTTAAGTTGTGTGGCGTAACTTGTTAAAGTTCTTTCATCATAGGAGCTATTGTCCTATACTTCCTTTGCCCCTCTCCCTCCACAAATAAATTATTGGGTAACTATTCGAACTCATTTGGGTTAGCTTTTGGGGGAGAGGGTTGATTATCCCTTTGCCCTGCTTACGGTGGCTGAAAACCAGTGAAAGTTCCCTCCATTTTTGCTCGATTGGTAAAATAACACAACTATTTTGTTCAAGATTCCCATAGACAACGACAAATGTTTGGGCGGTTTCACAAACTCTACTATTGAGATCACGAATGCTCCAATACCTGAAAGACCTGAGGATGTTTTCTTAGGGAAAACACTCTGACACTCAAGTTAGCAATACTCTATAATTTAAAAAGAGAAGCTCTCAAGAAAAGTGATTGTCGAGAGAGAAGCTCTCAAGAAAAGTAATTGCAGAGAGAGAAGTGTAGTGGAGTTATTACCTTACATGAAAGGTAGTTGGGGGTATTTATAGAAGTTGGTCCTGACAATGATGCCACTTGTCACTCTCTTATTGGCACACTTGCCCTTGGTCATGTGGGTGTAACATGACTAAAGTGTCTACCCCTTTGGGCTGTATATTGCCTTTTGGGCCTAGTTAATAATGTTGGATCTATTCCCCAATAGTAAGGAAGAGGGTCACCAAGTCCTAATGGGTAAGGGAGAGAGTCTCCAAGTGTTAAAGGGGAAGGGAGAGGAACTCCAAGTCTTGTTGCTACCTATCACTGCTCCCAATAAATGGTATCAAAGTAAATTATGATATCTAAAATTCTTTCAAATTAATTTGACTTGTTCTAACACATTTTGAAGGATTAAATCTATTTGCAATTATTCTTGGTGTGGTTCTAACTAATCAAATTAGAAGAAGGTTTGATATGGGTTTTAATCCCAATCAAAAGGAGAAAAAAAAGTTCTAACCAAACCAGGTTGCTTCAAATTTGCAATAAGTAGGGGTGACTGGCTGCTGCATTGGCTGCAATTAGGTGGAATATGCTGCTTTTGCAAAATATAGGTTGCTGTTAGCAAAATAAATGTTGTTGCATGTGCCAACCATTATGGATTAGGAATTCCAATCAAGAAAGAAAAATATGTAGTACACAAGGTGTATTAAAGGTTGTACGATCAATTAGGTTTTTGAGTATAAGTCAACAATAGCAAAGTTATTATTGGTGTAGTTGAAGGTTAAAGAAAATTTATCTCAACAATTAAAATAGATTTAATTAAGATTTAATGAATAAATTAATTTTTGAGTTGTGTAAAATTAAACCACAAGAAGAAAACATGTTAGAGGTTAATAGAGAAAATAAATTTAATTTTTATAAAAAAGAGTAATTTGTATTGTACATGATTATGCGCCATGGTATTGTAAGGATAGGTCCGAGGTCCTTAACCTCGGATGTACTGTAACAATTCCTTAATAGCCGAAGTGAAGTTAAATCCAGCACTTCCCTGTCAAATGGCTACATGATATGTTCCCTCTTAGACAAGGTCAACTCCCCAACAACCTTCCACCTCACCTCCCACCTTAGATCTCAAATATGTTCCCTCTTGTTGATCATGTAGAAAGAGGAGATGAAAACCAACCTCACAACTCAGCTCACAACTCAGCTTCCACCACTAATCAAGATGTAGTTACAGCTCAGCTTGCTGCCATGCAACAATAGTTTGGTGTCTTTCAGTTACTTTTAGCTCAGCTCCTAGCTTGGAATAATCCTAGTGATCCCTTCATCAATTTACTGAACCCTGCTCCACAACCCCCAATTCAACAACAAAACCCCCAACTAGTTTAGCATGCTCTTGCTCTTAGTGAGTCTCAGGGTCAGTCTCACATAGCCCCAGCTCAACAACCTCTACCTGATGATGTCACTCAACATCTGGACAGTTTAGAAAAACTGGTAGCCGAACAACAAGGTGCCCCACCTCCACACCATAATACTGATTCCATACCTCATCTTTTGAACACCAACATCACATTGGAACCTTATCCCGCTAGCTTCAAGATTCCTCAGCTTGAGACATATGATGGGACGAAGGATCCCGATGATCACCTCCATGCCTTCTACTCCTGTATGCAAGCTCAGAATGCCTCTGATGCATTAATGTGTAAGATCTTTCCCTCCACTCTCCGTGATAATGCTCGAACCTGGTATTATAGTTTGCTCCCAAGATTTATCAGCTCCTATTTAGAAATGACATCTACTTTTGCCACAAAGTTTTCCAACAGAAGGTTGATGAGGAAAACTACTTTTGGACTGATAATTACATGAGCAGGTTCAATGATGCAGTTCTCAAAGTTAGCTCCTTCAACCAAGCCGTCGGAATTGCGACTATGATTTAAGGTCTCCAACATGAAAGATTGAGAGATAGCTTAATCAAGCATCCTACTGCTACTTTTAATGAGGTTAATGACAGATCGTTGAAATTTATAACTGCTGAGGAATATGCTTTATCCCATAAACCAGTTCTTCCTAGAAATCAAAACCCAGAATAGAGAGATAAGAGTCAGAGCAGAAAACGGATCAAGACAGTACAGAATCGAGGTCCGATGATGACTTCCACACCGAAATTTGGAAAGTCAAACTCAGTACCTCCCCAGCAAAATATCAGTAAAACACCAATTACATGGACTCCTTTCAATCTGCCAAGGTCGTAGATATTCATGCAGATCAAGAATAAGATGGATTTGAGGCGACCAAGATCGATGAGAAGTTTTGTTGCTACACGTGATCATACCAAATACTACGATTTTCATCAAGATCATGGTCGTACAATAGAGCAGTGTAATAGTCTGAGGTCAGAGTTGGAAAGTCTAGCTCAGAAGGGAATGCTGAATGAATACATCCAGAGAACCGAGCAACCAAAGTTTGTTCAAGAACAAGTACCACCACCACAGGGGTCTCGTAATGCAAGTAACAGACAAGGTGTGGGATATCAACAAGCCCCACCTCCACTCCCACCACCGACCAAAATTATACATACAATTATGGGAGGCTTGGAAGCAGGAGGTTTGAGCTTTAAGCAGTGAGAGTTATACGTTAGAGAGGTTAAGCATCAAAACCAAGCTCAAAAAAGAAAGTTTGACGATGCTGATTAGAAGAATCAACCCATCACTTTCACAACTGCTGATTTTGACACAATTGTCACACCTCACAATGATCCTTTGGTCACTTCCGTCATGATTAACAACTGTGAGGTGCAATGTGTCCTTGTTGAAATAGGGAATCCACCAGATATTATGTACTTTCACTATTTTGTGAGTTTTGGGCTGGATCCAGCTTTGTTGCAAAGGTACGATGGTCCCATCTATGGATTCAACAACCAACATGTTCAAGTAAAATGAATCCTTGCTCTCGATGTTGCTTTTGGTAGTGGCCAAACTTATGTAACACCTTCAGTTTGGTTTCTAGTTGTCAAAATTGCATCCTCTTTCAATGTTGTTATTGGCCGACCCACATTAACTGAGATTCGAGCTATGGTCTCTCAATCTCACCTTTGCATGAAGTTCTCAACTCCCATGGGGATAGCAACACTATGGGGTAACCAGGAGGTGGCTAGACATTGCTACATTATCTCGGTTACAAGGCCTCAAAAAGGCAAAGATCAAGCACCAGAAACCATTCCCCAACAAACTCATGATACTCAACAAGTGATAGGAGTTGAGATAGCGGACAACCGACCTGAAGATGAATCAAGAGCTACCCTAGTTAAGGATGTAAAAGAAGTGCAAATTGATGACAGAGATCGCAACAGGAAAACACCAATTGGAACTCGATTGAACCCAAAGGAAAGAGAAAAGCTAATAGCTTTCCTCCGAGCTAACAATGATGTCTTTGCTTGGACCTCAGCAAACATGCCAGGAATTCCAACCTCAGTTTCTCAGCATGAGCTTAGCACTAATCCATTGAAGAAACCAATAGCCCAGAAGCGACGTCTCTTTGGAGGGAAGAGGCTTTAAGTTATAAAGGAACAAGTAGAGATGCTCCTACAAGCTGGTTTCGTTAGAAGAGTTGATTACTGCGAATGGGTGGCTAACTTGGTGTTGGTCAAGAAGGCAAATGGTAAATGACAAATGTGCATCAACTACACAAATCTCAACCAAGCTTGTCCCAAATACTGCTATCCGATGCCAAGCATTGACAAATTGGTTGAAGCGGCTTCTGGAAATGAGAGATTAAGTCTCTTGGATGCATATTCTGGTTACCACCAACTGCCGATGGCTCTGGAAGATGAAGAGAAAACCTCGTTCTATGCAGGTGATGGAATTTATTGTTATGTCATGATGCTCTTTGGCTTAAAGAACGCAGGTGCCACTTACCAGAAAATGGTAACCATTATCTTCTAAG